AGGCCATCGTCGCCACCGCTGGATTCGCCTCGAAATCCTGGTCAGAACGCACCCCGGGATCCGAGGATGCCGACAAAGTGACGATACTCGGAAGCTGGAGCATATACATTACCAGTGGAGGGATGTGTTCCAATCCCAGGATTATTTGAGGGTCGGGGGCGACGTCGGGATGGTGTGGTGTGTTTTTTGTTTTCCAAGGGTAAGCGAAACATGTGTACACCAGGATCCCGTATACACCAGGATCTGTTTTTTTGTGCAAGGATGGGACAAGGATCGGAGGATGCCAACAAAGTGACGACACACTCGAAGAAGAAGAAACGCCAGAAACGTAAACTTTTGGTGCTCCGCGCAGATCTCTTGGATCGGCGCCTGGGCCCCCCCCGGCGGCGCCTCCGGCGACGCCCCTGGCGCGCTCCGCGCGCCAGGCAGGGGAGCCCAGCGCGGATCCAAGAAATCCGCGCGGAGCGCCACAAGTTTATGTTTACTCAGAGCGTGAATTACCTACCCCGCTTTCGCTTCCAGGCAAAACCAAGCCATACCACGCGCCTCCTCGTCAAGCGGCCTGACCAGTACAGGCTGCAGTTTGGCGTCGCTTGGTATCTCTTGGAAGGGAGGGTGGTCAAAAGCGAGGTAGGTTTGTTTTCCCCCTATTTATGCTGGGTTCTTCTAGACACATTTGCACTATTTGGCCGGGCCAATCCTGGGCCCCGCTGGCCTGCCCAGGGCTGGTCTCTGTGCATGGCCGGGGCGCCCTCCCAGCGAGGACCTGCTCCCCGACAAGAAGGACGACGCCTGGACGACCTCCTCGCGGTTCAAGAGGGACCTGGTGGAGCTACTCGGGAGGCTTCGCCAGCACTGCACCGAGCGCCTTGCGCTTCCGGGCCTGCTCCTGGGCCCCTCCCTCTCGTGCGCAGCAGGGCCTCAGGCGGAGAAGGCCCCATGCCCCTGCCCCCACCCTCCGCCTCCTTGCCTCCTCGCCCCTCTCCTCCCTCCTCTCAGGAGGGGAAAGATCACGCAGACACAATCAATCGTCGATCCCCAGAAAATATGGGAAACTATGGGAAGTGGGTGGGAAGACCAAGACCCAGAAAAGATGGGAAAACATGAAGGATTTGGCTATTTGTGTGTATTTATTTGTGTGTCCCAGGGCCCTTCGGCGCCCCAGCGCCGGCGGCCTTGCGAGGGGAGCGAGTTGGGAGGTCGAGGACGGCGGGCGCGCAAACCCCCAGGCATCACCACACCGAGGTCGCCCGGCGCTCCCCCCCCGTTCCAGTCCCCCCCCCAGGCCAGCCCAGGCTCTTGTGCTCACCTGCTGCGATGGCCCGCCGCAGCGGTGAGTCTCGCGGGCATGCCACGCGTTCTTCGGCCACGCGCAGAGGGGGGTAGGAGGAGGGGGGCAGGCTTCTTAGAAGCACCCCTGCCTCTTAGAAGGCGCGGGCCTTATCTATAGATGTAAGGCCGGCGCCTTCTAAGAAGCAGCCTGCTTCTAAGAAGCCCTCCCCCCTCCTCCCACCCCCTTGTGCGCGCCGCCAAGTTCCGGAGCTGGGAGGGCCGGAGTGGTAGCGCGATCTCGCGGCCCCGCCAGAGGTCTGGGACTCTTGGGACGGCTGCGATCCGAGGCGGAGGACCGCTCTTCGGGGGCTTCGGCAGGCGGTGGATCTGGATAATTCTACACGGGACCCCATAGGCCCGAGTACATCCATATCAACCGCCCCCTAGAGGGTCCGAGGACATGGGTTCCCCAGGCAGTGGATATGGATATATGATCCCGGGTCGAGGGTTTACAGCCCCTCCCTAGATGGGATGGGTCCCAGGGTTCCATAGCCCCCCCCCAAGACGGGATGGGGGGGGACGACGACGACGACGACGACGACGGCGACGACGATGACGACGACGAAGACGACGACGACGACCACCACGACGATGACGACGACGACCACCACGACCACGACGACGACACCGCCGCCGCCACCGCCGCCGACGGCGACGACGACGCCGCCGACGCCGACGCCGACGCCGACGCCGACGCAGGCATGGACGCCGACGCCGAGGACGCCGACTACGACGACGCCGACGCCGACGCCGACGCCGACTCCGACGCCGACGCCGACGCCGACGCCGACTCCGACGCCGATGCCGACGCCGACGCCGACATCGACGACGAAGCCGCTGCCGACGACGACGACGAAGACGACGACTACGACGCCGACGCCGACGCTGACGCCGACTCCGACGCCGACGCCGACGCCGACGCCGGCGGAAGTCGACGACGACGACGACGACGAACCACCCCACACCATCAGGGGGAGGGGGCGTGGCATTGGCACCCACCACCACGCCACGCCCACCACAGGGCCACGACCCCAGGGCGGGGGTGGGGGGGATTCCATTCGCGAGGCCTTTGCGAGGCTCACTGGCGTACCCATCCAGTAGGGTGGGGGAGGCGATCCCATTAGCATTGGGGAAGGGGGAGCCCTTGATCATACATCTCCGCCGCGCATAGGAGAGGTAGAAGTCCATGGCTCGGCAAGAGGACGTGGCAGGACCGCAGTGGTGGGAGCCCGGACGGTTTCACATAGCGCTGCCGCGGTCAGGTCCAGGCTCGACTGCACGGCGCAGCAAAACGCACACACACACAGTTTGAGAAGGAATCGCAATCAGTCCGTGTCTACGCTGGGAGTTTCAGTCGGGATGCACGCTGTGCCGAGTCGAGAGCAGTTCCAACGTCTTGATGATGGCCGTTCCGTGCGACGGGATGGCAGGCGCGAGCGCGCTGCACCTCCCTCTGTCCGCGCAGGTGTCGGTAGTTCCACGCGGTGTGCACAGACTGCGCACGTGAAAAGGTTATGCGCGAGTGCGATTACTTATGGCATGGACCCACCCTCCGTGCGCGTTCTTTGGTGTGCATCTCAGGCTTGGGCGCCATGGAGTGTGAGGACTTCTCGGGCGAGGCCGCGGCTCAGAGAGGGAGCCGCCTTCCAAAGATGTGTGCCGTTGTCGGGAGCCGTGGGCGGGCCGGAGTTCCCCAGCCCCCGTTGCGATCCTTGCAGCTGTGGGCGATGTAAACGTCCATGATACGATCGAAGACTGCAACACGCCCGGACCGCCATGCCGACCCAGTTTCCAATGCCGAGGACTCGAGTATGATGGTGTTGATCATGGTGATGATGACGATGATGATGATGATGCTGATGATGACGATGGTGGTGCTGATGATGATGCTCATGATGATCACGATGGCGACGAGGATGATGACTATGAGGATGATGGCGATGATGATGATGACGATGCTGATAGTACTACTGAGGGTGATGAAGATGATGATGGTGATGCTGATGATGATGGTGATAAGGATGTGTATGGTGATTATGATGATGGCCATGAATATGATGACGATGCCGATGATGATGATGACGACGAGGATGATGATGATGATGATGAGGATGATCATGATGCTGCTGATGATGATGCTTGTGATTCGTGCGACCATGATGTTGATAAGGATGATGGTGCAGTTGCTGCGGATGATGATTATGATGATGATGGTGGTTGTGGTGGTGGTGATGCTGACCATGATGATGATGATGCTGATGCTGGTCATGATTATGATGATGATGCTGATCATGATTATGATGCTGACGATGATGGTGCTTGTGACCAGTATGGCCATGATGTTGATGATGGTGAGGATGATGATGATGATATGATTGTGATGACGATGGCGATGATAATGATGACGATGACGATGCTGTCGATGATGCTTCTGCTCATGTTTGTGACGACGATGCTGATGATGCTGATGATGATGATAGTGATGATGATGCTGATGATGATGATGATGATTGTGGTGGTGGTGGCCGTGCTGGTAGTAACGACGACGTCGATGACGACGTTTACGATGACGATCACGACGAAGACGACGACGACGATGATGATGAGGATGATACTGTTGATGATGAGGACGATGATGATGATGATGCTGATGGTGGTGGTGATGATTATGATGATGGTGGTGTTGGTGGTTGTGGTCGGGAATTGGAGGGGGAGCAGGAGCAGGCGGAGGAGACGTGGTCGCATCAGTCGCAGGATCACGAGCTGCCGAGAGCTGCCCAGTGACGCACAGGACCCGCTCTCCTTCCCGCTCTTCGCCCTCTGGCCAGCCGGGTATGCACTTGCAGCGGGGGGGGGGCCCTACCCTTCCTGGACCTCGCGACGATCCCAGGGGCAGTGTTTTCGCCCCCATCCCGCCCCCAGAGGCCCAAGCTGCGACGTAGCCGCCCGCCGTGATCTCTCTGCGGCGCCCGCTCAGAGTCCCTAACGGGCGAAGAGCGGTATCAAATTCTCTTTTTCGCTGTCGGGGGCCCCTGTTCCAGGGCGGCTGGAAAGTTTATACGCTCACGGTGGCACCGTAGGGGTAGAAACTTTCCAGCCGCCCTGGGACAGGCGCCCCCGACAGCGAAAAGGTTTCTTTGATACCGCTCTTCGCGCGCTAAATAACGGTCGAGCATCTGATGAAGAAACCTTCTCTCGAAAAGCTTGGCCAGCGTTTCTTGGCCAACTTGCTGGAAAGCTGGCTCAGTTTCTTGAGCGCGTTCGCCCCTCCAGCGTTGACGCAATAACTTGGCCAGGTGTGTCCTAAGACATTTCCGGAAAGCTGGCCCAGGGTTCTTAAGTGATGATTTCTTTGATCATATTCTCGGGGTATAGGAGAGGTCCGGGGAGTAGTGGCATCGGTGCCTTTTGGTTTCCCCAGTGTAGGGGGCGCCTGCGCCGAGATGAGCAGACGCAGGGCCAGCTCGCGCTGGCATGCACAAGCTTGGCATCGCTCGGACGTGTGCGTTTTTTCCTCGGCGAGGACCATCGAGGAGCATCCTTGTTCACTTGGCGAAAAAATACGCACGAAACCGACAAAAACACAGGGAATGGACGTCCGAGCGATGGCGAGCAAGGGGAGGCAAGCCCTGGCCAGGCAGAGGAGGGCGCACCACGGCCGCGGGGCCGACGACGGCGGCGGCGACCGGGCTCGCTGACGATCTGCGCGAGGAGGAGGGAGGGAGGGAGGGAGGGAGGAGGGAGGGAGGGAGGGAGAGGGAGGAGAGAGAGAGAGTGAGGGAGGAGGAGGTGGTGGAGGAGGGAGGAGGGGAGGAGGAGGAGGAGGAGGAGGAGAGAGAGGAGGAGAGGAGGAGGAGGAGGAGGAGAGGAGAGGAGGAGGAGGAGGAGAGGAGGAGGAGGGGAGGAGGAGGAGGAGAGAGGAAATTAATGCGGAGGAGGAGAGGAGTCTTTAGGCGCAGCTGCTGCCGCATGGGGTGCCCATCCTATCTCTGTTCTCGTCTCGCACTCGGTATGGAGTTCCAGACTCTGCCCTCACCGATCGATCGACCGACTGACCGACCGAGGAGGAGGAGGAGGAGGAGGAGGAGAAGGAGGAGAGGAGGAAGAGGAAGAGGAGGAGAGGAGGAGGAAGGAGGAGGAAGGAGGAGGAGGAGGAGGAGGAGGAGGAGGAGGGGGTGGTGGAAGTGTAGGAGGCGGCAGAGGAGGAGGCCGTGGGGGAGGAGGAGGAGGAGGACGAGGAAGCGGAGGTATAGGAGGTTGAGCAGGAGGAGGAGGACGAGGATGAGGAGGAGGATGAGGAGGAAATGGAGGACGTGCAGGACGAAGGGCGGGCGAAGAGGAGGGGCCGCGCGCACGCCCCGCGCACTGCCGCGCGGGGGCGCGGCTTCCCGTCCAGCGGCGGCGAGACCGTGCTCGAGCTGGGCGCCCACGCCCGCCGCTCGGGCGCCGCCAGCCGCTGGTCGTCGGTCGTCGGTCGTCGGTCGTCGGTCGTCGGTCGTCGGTCGTCGGTCTTCGGTCGTCGTCGTCGTCGTCGTCGTCGTCGTCGTCGTCCTCGTCGTCGTCGTCGTCGTCGTCGTCGTCGTTGTCGTCCGTCGTCGTCGTCGTCGTCGTCGGCGTCGGCGTCGGCGTCGTCGACGTCGTGGTGGTCGGCGCCGGCCGTCGTCGTCGTCGTCGTCGTCGAGGCGTCGTCGAGGCGTCATCGTCCTCGTCGGAGGCGCCGAGGCTTCGAGGCCCTTGGCCATTTTCAGGAGGCGGGCTGTCATTGTCGCTGTCGCCGAAGAGGGCCCCAAGAGGGCCACACGAGGAGTCTTGGGGCAGTAGTGTTGGGGATGCGGCTCCTATCATGCCCCCACGACGCCCACGGACGCCTCCAAGAAGTGCCGAAAGGAAGAGACGGAGGAGGAGGAGGAGGAGGCGGAGGAGGAGGAGGAGGAGGAGGAACAGGAACAGGAACAGGAACAGTAACAGTAACAGGAGCAGGCCTCCTGTGGCCCTCTTGGGGCCTCCTTGGGGCTTCCTGGGAGCTTCTTGGGGACCCCTGGGGGATCTCTTGGGGGCCTCCTGGGGCCTCTTGCGGGTTTCTGGGGGCGTGTAATGGGCCTCTCGGCCTTCGAGGGCTGTCTTGGGGCCCTCACTGGGCAGTCGTGGGTTCCTGTTTGGGAGCTTCAGGGCAGTCTTGGAGGTCTTGGGGGCCGTCTTGGGGGCCTCTGGCCGTCTTGGGGCCCTTTTGGGCCATCTTGCGGGCCTCCTGGGCCGTCTTGGGGCGGTCTTGGGGGCTTATGGTGAATAGCTTCGGGAGCCCGAGACGGCAAGACCGCTCGAATCAATGTGCACCATTTGACAAACTCGCTGATTCGGATCTCTTGGAGGCCCTCTCGGAGCTCCCTTGGGGCGTCTTGGGGGCCTCTTGGGCCGTCCAAGAAGGGCATCTTGGGACACCTTGGCCGTCTAGGAGGCGCGTCGGGACAGTCAGGGAGGCCCTCTTGGAGGCCCTCTTGGAGGCCATGCTGGGCCAGGTCGGGCCGCTGTGGCCGTCTTGGGGGCGTCAGGGGCCTCTCACGTTTTCTCCGCGCCGAGAACGGCGGGCGTCGCGACTCGAACGCGGGCCACGCCTCGCGCTGGGCGGGATCTTAAAACCAGAGGGGGGGGAGGGGATGCAGACAAGCTAGGTGCGCTCGCGTCATATCTGACGTCCTACCCCTCCCTCCCATCCCTTACCATGGCGCTGATTTTCTCTATCCGCGGACGCGTGTCGTAGCGGACCTGTGGCTCCGCGCGCGCGTGCGTAGTGGGTGGTGGTGCGCGTGCGTGATAAGTAGAGGGGGAGGGAGGGGTGGGGTTGGGGACAGGGTGAGGAAGTAATTGGCTGAGGAGACGGGAGGGGAACGGGGGGGGGGGCCGTGCTTGCCACAGCCCGGGCGCCTCTTGCCGGGTGGCCGCCACGATCGGCACAGGCCCGACGGGGAGAGCCCGACGGGGAGAGCCCGACGGGTTTGAACTGTTGGGCACGCCAGCCACCCCTGCGATTACCCCAGATTTCGTAGTAAAAGGGAGGGGGTCTCAACCCTCCCAGACGAGAAGCTCTAGACCCCCCCAGACCATCCATGAAAGGGCGGCCCTTTGCCCAGACCCCCCCCGAACCCTCCAAGGCAGCTAAATTTAGACCCCCCCCCCGAATGTGACCCCCTCTCACTTTGTTATGGAATCCGGAGTACGTAGCAGGGGGCGGCGGACGACGGAAAGCGCGCGTGGCGTCGCGATCCGCTAGTTGAGAGACATAAAGCGGGGGGAGTGCGATCTGATGGCCTTCGGCCCATGCCGCCACCGTGTCCTGGGTTGCAGGTCGGAGGCTTCTTGCATCACTTCTTGAAGGGGTCTCTTGGGATACCTCTCGGAAGCTTCTTACCTGCGGCTCCAAGACACCCCCAAACCGCTCCCAAGTAGGACCCCCGAGGTCGCCTAGAGGCCCCAAGTTGGGGCCTCTGGGTCTTTTGGGCCTCGTGGGGGCCCGCTGGAGCCTCTTGGGGCATCGTGTGGGCCTGCTAGTTGCGCCCAACATGTAATTTCGAGTTCCCCCTCTTTGGCCCATGTTGGGGCCGTCTTGGGGGCATCCTGGGCCGTCTTGAGTCATTATTGGTCCGTCTCGGGGCCCTCTTGGGGGCCTCCTGGGTCGTCTTGGGGCGATCTTGGAGGTCTTCTTCGACCGTCCCGGAGCGTCGGAAGCCTGAGAAGACGAGAGCGCTACAGTCTTGACAAAACCTGCGGGACACCACTACAGTCTTCCTCTTTTGGAGGCCTTTTGGAGCCCTCTTGGGGCGTCTTGGGCCGTCTTGAGGCCGTTTTGAACGTCTTGAAGAACTCTTTTGCCGTCTCGGGGCCCGCTTGGCCCGTCTTGGAGGTATCCTGGAGCCCTCTTGGCCCGTCTTGGGGCCCTCTTGCCTCCAGAAAAGGCCCGAGACAACACGCGACAGGCCGCGACAAACCCCAGGAGCGCCCAGAACCCGGGGGCGTGGGCTCTGCAGAATTTCCAAGACAGACGACTCGAAGGGCATCAGGGCCTGACGGGCCAAGACGCCGGCGGCCGCCTGCCGCCTACCTGACGGGCTGCCTGTGGCCAGGCTTGGCCGCGGCGGCCTCTCTCGGCTTGATTATTTTATTAACTAAGGGCTGCGCGCCACTGGCGCGACGGCAGAGGCAAGGCCACCAGCGCGCCTTCCTCTCTGCAACCTCTGCCTGAGGGCACTCCACTCCGTGCCTCGGGGCAGGATGGCGGATCTGGACACAGACCTCCAGGCGCATTTCTGCCGCCCCCGCCTGAGCCTCCACTCCAACCTCCTCCAGATGAAGCGTGCAGCGTGGCTTCGGCGACGTCTCCTCCGAGGGAAGCTGTCGGCCACAGTCCCTTGAACCATATGCCATCGGTCGTTGAAAGTCGGTAGTTCTGGAGCCCCAGATTCCAATATATTTCAAACGCTTTCCTACTTCAATGATCGAGAGGCTTCACCCTTGCTGTCCTCTGCAGGGGGCGGGCGGCCGCCCAATCTACGTTCAACGCCTTCCTACTCCATGTTTCCACCTACTTCTTCCGACCGATGGGTAATCTCGTCGAGCTCCACTGGCGACGGCTGCCTTGCAGGCGGCGGCTCGGGCAGCGGCCCTGGCCGCGCCCACCTGCACACGATGCGCACGTGCCATTTGGCAGCGTCCACAAAGCCGGCCCACGCACCCCGCTTTGAAGAACAACACACTGCAAACACAACATTGCGATTGTCCGAGCTATTTCCTTGGATCTGCGCTGGGCACCCGTCCTTGGCGCGCGGGGCGCGCCAGGAGCGACGCCAGAGGCGCCGCCGGGGAGGCCCCAGCGCAGGTCCCAGAACTCCGCGCGTTTGCTTCTGTGTCTTTTTCCACAGCCGCAGCAATGGTTCTGCATGACAGCGCGCACTTCCACACGATGCTATCCACGGTAACCCTCCACGGCAATCCTCTAAGCAGCGCCAACGACGTTGGCCCGCGGCACGGCCCGCGGGGCACAGCAACCCGCGGACCAGAGGCAACCGAGACAGCAGGTCAAAACGCGGCAGCCGCGGCGGCACCGCACGCGGAGCAGCCGCGGCAGCCGATTCGCGACGAACGGCGGTGGGTGGCGCTGGTGGCACGTTGGGGGCTGGCGAAGTCCGTCGCCGTGACCGGGGCTGCGAAGGCTGGCGGGCACTGGACACCCGGTGGTTCCCAGGCAGCAGGCGTTCAGCGAGGGCCCAGCAGCGGCAGCAGCGCGAGGCGGGGTACGTTGGAGAGCGCGGGGCACAGAGTCCAGAGCCGCACCCGCAGGGCCGACGCCACGTGCCTTCGGCGACGCACGACGTCCTCCTCCCTCCTCCCTCCCTCCTCCTTCCCCTCCCTCCTCCCCCTGCTCCTCGCCCTGCTGCCCTGCTCCTCATCCCCCTGCCCCTGCTCCTCTGCCTGTTTTCCTGCTTGTGCCCGAGGTCGGGCACTGCACCCGCGTCCTTTCGCGCCTGTTCGGCGCGGTGATCGCCGTGGAGCACTCCGAGGCGGCCGCCTCCCATCGCGCCCCCCGGCCAGGGGAGGACGAGAAGTACGGGAATGCGGAGGAGGAGGAGGAGGAGGAGGAGGAGGAGGAGGAGTGAGGAGGAGGAGGAGGAGGAGG